ATAATATAGCCGCCCCAAACAAATACACACAGTAGGCTGCAGATTTAAATTCTATTATTAGTGTATGTGCTTATTAAATATTATTAAACATTATAATAATAATAAAACATTGAGTAACCCAACATCTTTTCACTTGTCGTCATAATAGATGCTACCTTAAACATGTACATTCACAAACGTCTACTGGTGCAGATTTATGGAGACTTGCAAGGTTTTAACAGTAAAAGTCAATAACACATTCTGTGTACATGTGTATTTAATATTATTTATTACCTTTTTTTCTGAGAACACCAGCCACAGACAGGGATCTGAAGAACTTTCTTAGGGTAATATCAAAGATGTTGTAAAGGAGCAAGTCACCATTTATTTTCGATTCCATTCACTCAAGCTAAACTTCATGTACAACAAAATAAGTAAAAGGGGAAGCCGTGCAGTAAATCTAGCATTACAGTGCGTAGCAGAGAGAACTCTCTCTCTCAAAAACAGAAAAAACTACTGGGGAGTACGTCCACACACTTCTTACACTTAAATCCCAACATATTCACAAGCTATTTAAGGTAAATTAATGCTATCAAATTATCTTTCAGTTCTTTTCTCAAAACAGCAATTATTGTCTTTTACACATTGCCTTAGGGTCACTGGTCCATCATCGACGATATACAATTACATCGCCCCTATTGCCCAGGCCCATTTGGAACCACTTTTAAAGTCAATGACATATAACAATAATAGGTAATCTGCAAACAGAGCCATAGTGTTATTAATACTGAATGGAAACAATAAAGAGTATTAGGAGTGTAAGGCCAAGAAAATCCAGGCAAAAGCCAACAAAGACATGGTACTAGACAATCCTCCATTACTAAGTCATTTATAAAAGCAATTTTTTGCATTCATCCAAATTATTATTTAGTACTTGATGGTATAATTCTTGCAATAGTTTAACAGTGTTTATGTTTTCCTCTTAATAATCATCACATTCATCATTGTGGTGGTATTTTGCTTTTTTCTCTTTTGCCCAGCTCTAAAGGAGATAACTGGTTCAAGCCTTTACATCTACTGTTCTAACACGCAAAACTCATTATATTACAAACATAAGTGTCTTTAGACAATCTATCAACTGAATAAATACAAAATACACAAAGGAACATAGGGCTCTACTATGAGCTCCCTGTTTTTTTTTTAAAACATGAATGATTCCTCCATTGAACTGTTTTTTTAAACTCACTGAGAAGCTGTTGAGGAGTGGCAAGTTTCTCAGTGCTGAAGCTGTCGGTGAGGTTAAGTGCTATGCACGATTAGAAAAGATGTAAAACAGTTATTTTCATAAGGTCAGGGCTAGGAAACAGAAAACCTATCCATTAAGCAGCAACTATGGACGAGAGGGAAAAAAAATTGTTGGATCTCCCACCAAAGAGTAAAGCGTTTTACTTATCTGAGCAAACAGGATGCATTTACCTACTCCTAATCTAAAAAGAACCAGAGAGAGGGAGAAAATGGAGAGAAAGAGGGTGAGTTTAGGTTGAATAAACTGCTCTTTCTCTTTCCCTTGACCTTTCTGGCATTCTCTCACACACTTGCATTCTCTCTTTCTCTCTCTCTCTGCCTCTGTGCTCATCTCTCCCACACAGGCCCGATCCACAATCTGACACTGCGCTGCATATTAATCACAAACTCTCTCCTACACAACCACTGTCGTCCTACATACCAAACCAATCTCCTCACAAAATGGCCCCACAGTCCTCCCCGCTCACTCGAACGGCAAAGTCTCAGCTTCTCCCCTTAGACTCTATGCGTTTGTGCTCAAAATACACTCAAAAGGCACAAATCAAGTGGCCGCGACAGGCTGCAGTGCTCAGATGCACACTGGAGATCGTTCCTTAACCCTGATTTACAACCAAACGGTAGCTGTGGAAGATCTAAAAGGACTGCTGTCTTTTGGCAACAGTTTGTCTCTATCTTTCTCTCTCTGTATCTGTTGAGAGAGAGTGCTGACACAGCACACACTGAAAGGCAGATATTGACAGACTTGAAGCTCGGTCTGTTGACCAAGGAGTCTGTGATGGTCAAGAATGATGGACAGCACTCAGGAAACTCTGCATTGGCCAGGTTGCTTTTAAGGGACAAATTTGAAGATTTTTAAAACACTTTCGCTTTCTGTATGGATGAAATTAGCAGGGGCACAGCTGGAACTGGCCAAGAGCAGAACTGGCTGATTTCTGCTCTAAACAAGCAATCAGCAAAGGCCAACTTATCATTTTGATTTTGGCTGATTTGTGTTGCAATGTTATGATGTAAGTAACATGAGGGCGGTAAGTTCACACACGCTGCATTTGAATGCTGCTGCAACATCTACACCAATGATTTTAAAATTATGCCAGACTCACTGTGATATATGCCAGTGGCCTCTTACTTTTCATGTAGAACTTTCTTTGATTTAATGTTATTTAAATAGGCAACTGAAGTTCATTTAAGAATTTAAAATACTAGTTTGGTCCTTTAAAGAGCAAATAATGCTATTTATATATGCAAGTTTGACTAATAAAAAACATTGTAAAAAATGGTATTTTAACTTTAAATTTTGAGTCAATTGAACGTCTACTAATAAGACAACAGAACAAGAATCTGTCAGCTTTTTATCTGAAGTTCAGTTAACTCAAAATGTTTAAGGCAGCACGGTAACTGACTTTTTTTAAGTTAAAACTAGTGCTGGGCGATATGACTTCAAATCAATATCACAATTCATTGAATTTTTTACTTCGATTACGATTAATGAACGATTATTTTTTGGTTTTTTTTTGTTTGCTTGTTTATTTGCCCTCATAGTTCACTGACAAGGTTTGTACTGTAAATATGCACGTAAATCATCTCAACAGATCGGACTTTTACGTCAATCCAACTCGACATTCGTCATAATTTCACGCTGCTGAGACCTAATAAACATTTGGGGTGATTCTTCTGTACAAAAATTAGAAGAGGCTTAATCCAAAACCACTCCGTGTTTGAAGAGATTTCGAAAGAAATGGCTGAACGCGGCTGTAGGAGAGCTAGGCTGCTGCGTCAAAGGACAGTTAAAAGTCTGAAAGCAAAGTTTAAAGAATCCCTTTTTACGGCGAGCTCAGACACATTCTGGGTGATGAGCCCAGCTGTCAGTCAGTGAAGCTTCATGATGGCTCCTGTGACGCTGACGAAAATGAAACTGAAACTTCCAGGAGCGACTGGCATTTGTTCATAGTTGTAATTGTTGACCTCTGGATGAGCCACGTGAAGCAACATGACGCATTGTTCTTCTGCGCATGCGGGTCAGTTTGGGTGCGTGATCTGTTCAGACGGATGTCGCATATAGGTCACATTTACAAGATATTGTGAACAGCTAAACAAAAAAATCGATTTGGTGAAAAGATCAGATCGCAGAGTGGACGTGGCAGAGTCACGTGACTACACGTGTGGTAGTAGGTTTTTAAGGGGATAGTACATGAACACACAAAGTTGGGAAAGGATTAGCAAAATTTTTTAAAAATCAAAATAACCGACATAGGCAAGATTACGTCGGTTAGAGGTTCTAAATGTCGGTTTCGATTACTTTTTGATGAATCGCCCAGCCCTAGCTAAAACATAAGATTTTTTTTTCTGCACACTATAAATGCGCTAACATATTTCATGTGTTCACTAATCTCACATAATGTGAGCTGTGAGTATCAAAATACCATAAAAATCTGCCAAAAATATAGGCCCATTTGGCTGTGAAAAACTCATAATCAGCGATAAAATTTCATGATCGCTGTGCCTCTAGAATGAAAGGAATGAAAATATTAAAAATTTACCAGCTGTTTCTGAATTTCAAAATTGTTCTTACCACAAATATATATGGTTGCTGTGTATCAAGCTAATCAGTGGGCTTTCCATCCTGGTCTTAAAATGGGCATGAAATGGGCCATTAGCTACTGGTTTGACCTCAATAAATGTCTCAATAAACTAAAACAGTTTAGCAATTTTTAGGTAAAGACGTATCACACATCGTCAATTTTCACCGCTCTCAATTTGGAAAAACTGATAACTTTTTCTTATGAGGCATAGCTTTCTAGCTTGGCTGCCCAGAGATGGATCAAAACTAAGACCAGTGTGGGTGAGGCTTTTATCTCACCTTACAGGCTTTCATTATGTAAGTTCAAAAATTGTGATGTAAGCATTATTAACAGAAACGAATCCCAACAAAGTCATTCAAATCTGAAAAGCTGAGGAAAACGGATGATTGTTGATTTTTTTCTCCAATAAAAGGTATGCCATTAGAGACTTCTCGACCCATCAACTACCTAACATGACCTCATCACAGACTCCGCTAATCCAGATTCCACTGTTCCCCTGTTATCATCCAACCCTTTTCAGCAAATCCCCCTGCAGCAGAATGTGCCTTTATTCAGATGTGGACACAGGTGAGCTTTGCTGGGCTTATGTAATCGCCAGGCTCTCTGGCACGGCCAGCTGCTTGTGCACTGTGCCGGAAAAAGTCATGTTGTGACAGACTGTTGCACCCGATTTTATGAGCTTTAAAAGATGGACAGTTGGAGAAATCTAGCGGTGGCAAATTCAAAATAATGTAAGGCACTGGTTGGTCCCTACTGCATTATCTGGGCCTAATGGTGTCTGAGCATGTAAGCAGTTCAAATTAAACATTTGGGATGTGTTTAACAACTGTCTGACAAAGAGGAAAAAGGCCTTTTGTTTGATTGTGTGCACTTCTAAATACACAGTACATTACATGCATATTCAAATCACATGTAGAGCCTGCAGCCTAGATACGCATAGAGTACTTGTTAAAATGTATGTTATATAACTTAGCAAAATCACACAAACACACACACATACACACTTTTCTAGCCTTCAAAGAGGCTTAGCACCCCAATCTTCCTGACAGTCACCCAAATAGGCAGTATTTGGAGACGCACTAGCTGCGCAAATATCCACAGCTATGCAGCGGAATAGCCTGCAGGAGTTGTACTCACTGTCTCTGCAGAGTGGTGGCCGTGCTGGTGCTGGAACCATCTCTCTCTCGCTCTCTCTCCTTCTCCCGCTCCCTGTCTCTTTCCGTGGGGTTGGAGCCGGTGGACAGGCCGCGGCTGAGGCGGGTGTGCGTGTTGACGTTGACATTGACATTTGGGCGGCGGTCTCTTGGCGGGATGGGTGGGGGAGGGGGCGGAGGGGCTGGAGCAGGGATAGGGTTATGGACAGGCCCACTGTTGTGGCTCTGGATGGGGTAGACAGTGGCAGAGGTGGGCGCTGCCGGGAGAGGCTGGCCGTGGTGGTGGCTGTGCGCCTGGTTTGAGGCCGAATTGGCCAGCGGTGGAGGCGGTGGAGGTGGCTGCCGGTCCAGCCGCAGGTCCTTGTTCTCCTGGCTGAGGCGGTCCAGCTGCACCTCCAGCTCCTCAATGCGCCGCCGCTGCGTCTCCAGCAGTTTCTGCTGGCTCTCAATGATGTTGTTGAGCTCCAGCAGATACTCCACCGCCCGGTTGGGGCTTTCTGGGCTGCTGCCCTGGCCGCCGTCCATGGTTCTTGGAACCTTTCTGGACTGACAGGTGGCCACGTGGGGGTACAGGGTCACCCCGAAAGTGGGAGCTCTCCCCCCCACGTGATGCAGGTGGGGGGGAGAGAGAGGATTAAGTGTGAGCTGTTGGAGAGGAACCAACTGGAACAGCACTGTTTTTCTCTCTCCCTGTGAAATTCCTGAAATGCAAGTAAATTCTTTGAGTCAAAGGATTGAGTTCTTTTGATAATCCATGACACAAATTTCCATTCACAATTCCAAGAGGGATAGGTGTGCCTGAGTCAGCAAATTCTCAGTCTTTTGTCAGTTTCACCATGCGGCTGTTTAGAGGAGGCCTTTGTCGAGACGAAACGCATTGTCCCTCTGGGATTCAACAATTCATCGCTGGCAAGGAAGAGAAAAAATGACATCTGTTCTCCCACGCTCTTTCCCCCTGACACCAAAACCACAACATCTTCATAAGTCCCTCAAACTCAAGGCATCCTCTCAAGTCCAAAAAGCGGAGGGGGAATACCGCAAAGAGCTCTGTAAGCAAATATTCATGAAGAGGTGGTTGGGTAAAACGAAACAAATCAGTGTAGGATCATCTGCATCTCCAGCACATACTGATGTGTCTTCTTCCCCCTGTTCTTTCCAATGTGGAGCTGAATGTCAAATGTCGCAGCACTGGAGATGCCTCCTCGCTATAGTGCATTCATGACTCATACCGGAGAGAAGTGGTTGGGAGACATTTTCTTGCTGAGCCATTCCCCAGAGAGGCGACCGAAGAGGAGAAGGTGAGAAAGAGGGGGAAGAAAAAAAAAGTTGAACCTTTAAATCCACCGCAATACTAAATTGGCTGCTGGGAGATGTGCTGGGAGGAAACACTGGGGTACAGCTCTGCTGTACTCTCCCTCATGAGGCCCCTTCCATTCATTCAAGCCATAAATACTGCTCTTCTTCATCCGCGTCTTGAACGCATGGATCGTAACTGACGATAATCATTTCGTTTCCCACGCCCAGTGCATTGCAGCTCCTTTACAAAGGCAAACTGACCACATACACGGACACTTCTCTCTCCTACACTCTACCTGTCGCCATAAATTTCTCTTTTTTGCCTCAGTGGGGTACACAGCCGAGCTCTGCGGCGACGCAGTCTCTCTTCCAGCTGTTAATTCTGACCATGTCAAACGATTCTGCCAAACGTTACCAGATTCACCGGCGCTTTAGTATTTCTTACCTCAGAGCCGCCTCGCACTAGCCAACGCAGCTGGAGCGCTCCTCAAACGTTTCCAAACGCGACGACAGCCTCCTTATGTTCTCCATTTCCACTGTAGCTCCTAGCGTTCATATCGCGGTAAGAAAGGCTCTGGGAAATGATTATCGATCCAGTCTTTGCGTCCTAGAGCCGCAGTTTCTCGTCACGCGCAGCCCTGCTGAACAGTGCCGAGCAACAGGGAGAAATCCGTCCCTGGCCGTTAACGGTCTCCTCAGTCGTTGGGTCCTGTGTTGCTTTGTGTTTAATCAGTGACGGCTCCATATTTACTGCTCAAACGGTCACTAGATTGTGGTCTGGGCGAAAAACGCCAAAACGACCTAACACCACAGTTAAATTACAATTTCTGACATACAGCTAAAAGCTAACTTTAAACTCAAATCACCCTTAACGCAACGTGTGTCCGTCCGCGACTTGCTCGCGAACGTTACCTAGCAACGAGTCAAATATGAAGCTAACAAAAAGCGAGTAAATGTAAAAGAGCTGTGCTTCTCCTGTCACTTCCGAGCAGAGCCGGCGGCTAAACTGCAAACCTGCGTTCGTTTTGCCTCCCTGTGCTGAGCGGTGGGTGGTTATTTTGGTCCGTTCCCTCTCCTCTGCCGCCCCTCTCCGCCTTTGGGCTTCACTGCAGTGGCCGCTGTCCACATGCGCCAGATGCTGCTCTGTCCTGCCTTTCTGCCCCTTTTTTTCTCCTCAGCGCATATGCCCCCCGTGTGAGGCGAGCGGAGCCCGAGTGTGACTCAGAGAACATAAAGTGTTGTTTCCTCTCGACTGGAGCGCTGACGTTGGTCCGACCGGGCAGCGCTAGAGGAACATGCTGGGGAAACCGGGCACCGGGCGGCGGCCATCTTGGATCGAAAATATGCTTGTGTCGTCGGCGATGAAGCTCATCGGACAGAGCCGCAATGAGCACAGTAGCCTGACTGCCTGCCTGCCTCTCTCTCTCTCTCTCTCTCTCGCTCTCTCTCTCTCTCTCTCTCTCTCTTTCACACACACACACAGCCAGAAACCACTCAAGATGCGAGGTGCGTGGTGCATTGACTGCAGAAAGCGCAGGCACCGATTTGTAGTTCTCAGTTCTCGCTTTCTTCTGCCCATGTTAACTAATGTGGCTTCATACTTGTAAGTGCCTTTTGGGCTTAAGGGAGAATGCCATTCATTTCCCAAAATTTCTGCAAAGTTCAGTGGCCGGTTGCACCAGCTTCAACCAAGTAAAAAGTAGGCTAGTTGTAACTAAATTCAGGTTCATGCATTACTAAACCCAAACTAGTTGCACCACACAAACTAGTTTTTACGTTGAACATTCTAGTTAAATATTTACACCGACCCCTCAGCAGGTGTAAGTTTTGGGGCAACCATCAGAAAGTACATACAAAGCACAAAAAGACCAAAAATATGACTCAGCTGTTTGTCTAAACGTCTAAACCCCATGTGTCAAACACAATCCTATCCGGCCCGCAGATGTATTTTAATTTTCTATTAACATTAGCCCGTTTCACAATGTGCTGCACTACAGTCCCCAGCATGCACTGCAACGTAACGTGCTCCGACTCTCCTGCCCCAACAACAGTCTACGGGACTGCGGCTACACCTCGATTCTACACAATTCTGCGCAATTACACACCAGTCATATCACCAAAATGCATTTAAGCTGCAGTTCAAATTGAGCCCAAGTCTTAATGAACTTGCAGCAAAGAAAGGATTCTAGGTGTCTAGTTCAAGTGTCCATGTAATATTTCAAAGTCTACTACAAGTGTCTGTATCTTACTGTTGAAGTTTTTGCATATTTTGAATAAACAATGGCCAGTTCGGGTTATAGCACAACATTAATATAAAAAGAACTAAAAAAAACATTTTTTAATGATTTTAATGATTTTTAATATGGCCTTTTTACTGGTTTAGTTTGACACCCTTGGTGTAAACTGAAGCTGCTATTGTGTCGCTTAGCCAGAAACCATCGTTTAAAAGGCTGCATAAATGGCTGTCTAAGGGAAATATTAAAGAATAAACAGAGGATGACTATAGAAATTTGACTATAGATTATAGTTTTATTCAGTTTAACATACCCTAACTTAAGTATAAACTTACACATACCCGATGCAACCCAGACCTGTTATTCCCAGGTGGTCTCCCAGTACTAACCAGGCCTGACCCTGCTTAGCTTCCAAGATCAGCCGAGATCAGGTGTTGTCAGGGTGGTGTGGCCGTAAGCGAGAAACACCCTGAAAAGAGCCACATTTAAAAATAGTAGACCAGATAATTAGACCAGCTTATCTGGTGAGAGTAATATAGAGGTTTACTATGTGCTGTGAAAGAGCCCATACAGAAATATTTAAAAGGGTTTTTCTACGTGTTAATTTATTACTTGGCCTATATAGCACATTTTCTCAGCAAACACACAAATTTTATTTATAAGACGACATGGTGGTAAATTCATGTTGTCCTACTATAGAAAAAGAAGCCAGACCTGATTTGAAGAGCTTAATGCCCCTAAATTTCCCTGGACACAAACGTTAAAACAACTGGAGCTCTAGTTCAGTCAATGAAAGTAATGCTGCCAAAATAAGAGTAAACATACACACTTGTGTAGACATCTGTTCTCTTAAGACCAAACCTGTTGATTTCACACTTTTTGGAGGTATTTAGTTGAATGCTACACTATATAATATTTAAAATAATGTACTGACAAGCATGTCATGGACACATCATTTCCATTTCACTCTCACCAGTGGTCTGCTATTTTTTTTTTAATGTGACTTTTTAGTGCTTGGATGTGAGACCACCTGAGAATACTATAAGCTTTTCAGTACAATTTTTGCTTTAAAAATTTTGTATAAAGTGAAAATCATGCCTATAAAATGAAATCATGACAAAAAATTGAGACATATTAGAAACACATTTTATTATATTATATTATATTATATTATACATTGTCCAGTCACTCACTGGCTCACCTATTATTTGGTTAATAGTTTATTTAGTTACTTAGAAGGGAAGGAATGTTGTAGGACAATTTTAATGTTACAAAATGAAAAATGAAATAAATAAATTTAATGTTTGTGTTTAAAAGCGCTCCAGCTCTGTTCATAGTGTTTGATTGTGTCATAAGAAGACGCCATGTTGGTAGGTGAGCTGTAACTCTGACTGTGCTCTGATGGAGCTTCTCATCACCGTTACTGCAGCTTCACCCCTGTAGGTACTGAAGACCAACAGCAACATAGCAAAACAGACAGAATGACTACGAAAAACATGAAAAGATGTGTGGACAATTTAGATGCAGCCTTCAGAAAAAAGCTATGAGGAAAAGATTAATTGTATATAGATTAATCGTATATATAGTAAATAGCGAAAAAGAAGTCAGCTTCTTGTTCGCCAGCTTCACATTTGAATTTTCCGTTCCACCTTAAATGGCGCTGCAGTTACACTGAGATTCCTTAAATGTACAACAAATTACAAACATTGCCCAATACAAAGCCAACATCAGCTTACCTCAATAAATGCATTGATTTACCTCAATAAATGCATTAATTTACCTCAGTAAATGCATCCATAATCAACAAATATCTTAAACTTCCACACAGACATGTATACTGAGCAGTTAACGTTCAGCACAGCAGAGCAGCTGCTTGAAGGCGTCTCACTGGCTGATCTGACGCCGCGTGCCAAACCAAACACTTCTTTACTTCACATATTCCACTAATGTGTGCACTTCTAATGGTATATGCACTATTTTCACACACTATTTAGT